GGTTCTGAGGATGTGAACTGAACACAAGGCAACAGCAGACTCTATAACATGTCGCTAAGTAGCTCCATAAACGGTCTGAATCAGAGCATCCTTCTTATTCTTCTTATCCGGGGTAAGAAGAATTATAGCATCACTTCATTTTTCGTCTGTTTGGTGACGTATTTCCACTCTAGGGTGCAAACATCTTTGCTCATAGACTAAAAGTTATCCATGTGCAGCAGCTGCTCTACAATACAGAAGGAGAGGAGAGCTGCGCCCTGAGTTACAGGAAGTGGATTTCTTCACCACCTTCCGCCACAGCGCAGACATTTTGCGGATAATTTACAGGTCAAGTTGGAGATGCACTGAGGAGAGAGAGAGAAATGGTGAAAGAATCATCGTTTTCCAGGACCTGGTTTAGCTCCAAGGAGAGGCTAACTGCATGCGGCGAGGCTAACTGCATGCGGCGAGGCCAACTGCATGCGGCTAGGCTAACTGCATGCGGCGAGGCTAACTGCATGCAGCCGGGCTAACTGCATGCGGCGACGCTAACTGCATGCGGCTAGGCCAACTGCATGCGGCTAGGCTAACTGCATGCGGCGACGCTAACTGCATGCGGCGAGGCTAACTGCCTGCGGCGAGGCTAACTGCATGCGGCTAGGCTAACTGCCTGCGGCGAGGCTTACTGCATGCGGCGAGGCTAACTGCATGCGGCGAGGCCAACTGCATGCGGCTAGGCTAACTGCCTGCGGCGAGGCTAACTGCATGCAGCTAGGCTAACTGCATGCAGCGGGGCTAACTGCATGCGGCGACGCTAACTGCATGCGGCGAGGCTAACTGCCTGCGGCGAGGCTAACTGCCTGCGGCGAGGCTAACTGCCTGCGGCGAGGCTAACTGCATGCGGCTAGGCTAACTGCCTGCGGCGAGGCTAACTGCATGCGGCGAGGCTAACTGCATGTGGCTAGGCTAACTGCCTGCGGCGAGGCTAACTGCATGCGGCTAGGCTAACTGCATGCGGCGAGGCTAACTGCCTGCGGCGAGGCTAACTGCCTGCGGCGAGGCTAACTGCCTGCGGCGAGGCTAACTGCATGCGGCGAGGCTAACTGCATGCGGCGAGG